ATCGACGACCGTGGGCTTCCTGCATTTCGTGTGTGGAAAGGCTCTCTCGTGCTGTTTCACGGCAAACAACGCCTCGCTCGGTACCGACGCGGTATCGTGAGGAAATTGTGAGAAAATCCAATGGATTTTGTGATCGCGGTCACGGTCATCATTCTAGACTTTAGCATCGATTCAAGGTGCGATATTCTTTTAACTGTTTACATACAGTTTTTTCTGCATTTAATTTTCAAACATAATAGCGCGCGCATTCCCGACCGCTAACTAGGCCGAGCGACAAACGTGTTTGTGCGACAGTTCTGCCGACCAAACGTTTCGAGATATGAACTTATGGTTTTAACATAAATTTTTCTTATCGTCCGAGGATGTGCCTTTCAGGTATGAATTTTATTGATCTGCCTCGTAAAAGGTGGGGGGGGGGAAGTAACTTTCATGGAAAATCGGAGATTCGCTCTCGTCTCGCCATCTTCCGGATGGACGAGGAGACGAGAGTTGGCGGGACATTCGTCAGGGGACGGCGGCGTCGCTCACGGCGGTGTCGAGCGCCTGTTGCCCGCGAATCCAGTGATTCCAAGAGCGTCCACGAGGAACGAAGGGGCGATTCGTCGGTTCGTCGCCGCTTGCGTTCACACGGCTCCGCAAAGAAGTAAATCACCGCAGCTTCCTTGTCCTTCTCTCAAAATGCAGAATCACGTCATCTTTTGTCCCAGCAGAAATCAATTTGAGCCCTTTGATAATCGTTCTCGAACGGCGCAAGGGAACTGGCTAGTGCGAGAGTTCTTCAAAGGTTGTATTGTTTCCCGGTATCGCAGTCGCATCCTCGTTTGGGAGAGAGTGCGAAGTCTGTCTATATAGTGATGTTTAACGTTCGTCAGTTTGGACGAACTTGAAGAGCTAATGCTGACGTCTTAGCATGGCTGTAAATGCTATCATCCCCCCCCCCCCCCCCCCCCCCCCTCTCCCCACATTTGAACGGTTTCATTCCCATTCCCGCGGTCTCGCATCTGTGCCGAGGAGGTCGTGCGATGGAGACGCACTTGCTAGGGCTGGAAGATGCCCTCCACGAATATTACTCTTTTTCATTGCTTTCGGGGCACATTGGTCCATTGAAGAGCTGGGGTGCGAAGTGGGACGACAGGTTAAAGGAGCCTCGACGAACGACATCGACGCGCTCAGTGTTGCATTGCCGTTTAGGTACTGGAATTTCACTCGATTCCTTTTCTCCTCCTCTGTCGACACCATGCTCCGTTCACGCGATTCACTTGCCAACGGTAATCACAGGTCAAACGAGACCTGTAGGCTTTATACACGTGACAGTGCCCACGTAACACATTAACGTTCTCGAGGACGTTCAACCTGCGTTCAAAGAGGTTTTTGGACCTTCAATGTGCAAGGATGAACAGCTTTCGGGCTCTCGGTTGAGGTGCTGTTTGGTCACCAAAACAGGCTGTTTTTGGACATTCGTCGAACGTTAAAGATACGTTTTCCATATCTTGCAAATCTGTGGTATCTATGTGACAATGGATTGAACCAAAGGTTCGCACTCCCTCTTGTGTTAAGGTGCCCCCACCTCGGTTACCACTTAGTAGGCTTCCTCTGAATCCGCTCTAGTGCTATCGACTCCTTCACTTGTGCATGGCCCCGGAACTAAACGCAATGATCCCAATCTATGGACATGAGTTCACTTCTGCTTCCTTGAATCGTTTAAACTATTTCGAAGCACCTCATATGTAGAAGCAACTCGGCTGCTTGATGAAGCAGATAGTTGCCGTGTATTTTGCACTAATACTGGCATTTTTCTCTTTCCGTAGGGACGGGCGACAGCGAATGGTTTCGTGAGATCTCGTGAGTTCTCGGTCTGCTTTAAATTTCTTTTTCATGAAGGCAAACGGAAGCCAGAAATGAGTTTTTAGGTGTGAAGCATGTTATCCGTATCAGTGAAGGTTCACAGATGCCGATTCGGTCCAAGGAACCTGTCCATCCTCTCGACTTTCCCAATGGGTGATTACGGTGGTCGGATAATTTAAAGGGGCCCAATATGTCCACGGCCTAAATTAAGCCAATCTGTCGAACACTGTCTCCAATCATTCCACACAGAAGGGTCCTTGCAAACCAAAAGTAAAGGAATTCATTTCCTATCGATTTCTGAATTCTTGGCCTTGATGAGTCCCGTAGCAATATGGGAAAGTCTGCAGTATTGACTTTCTTCAATTCGTCGATCGAGGCAGTTTCTACCAGAGGTCTCATTCAGTTACCACAACATATAACCTCATTTCCACTTGAGACAAAGTAGTTTGGGCTGAAAAACTTTGCCCATTCCAACAATGGTAATGGATATTCGTGACGAACAATAGAAACTAACGGTCTTTCTCTTGTTCCTTTTTTCCGTCTGCCTACACAGATTAGACGAACTTTAACTGTGAAAACCATTGTATTATGGAACGGCTCATGGGATGAATGAAAAAGCCTCTGCGAATTTCCAGTCATACTTATCCGACCAATGAAATTTCACCCTGCAACATCCAATAGCAAACAGCAAAAGGAGGAAGCACGCACATCCCTCGCGCTAAGATCAGGAACTGAGCCCAAAGAAGAAGTCTGCATTAACAAATTCGACTGGAGGTGATCGCTGAGACGGTTGAGTTCACGTGAGATATCAATAGCTCGGAAATTGAAGCCTTTTTAAAGTAAGGATATTTCGCGACAAGGAAATTTATTTTTCCCCTAATGGAAAAAATGATTTGCGAATCAATGAGACTCATAGCCTTGAAATGGTATTCTGGTATTTTACTAATTATATGCATGTTCCGATATACATATGGCATCGTAACAAAAACAATGAATTCATTCTACGAATTTCATTTCAATAAATTCATTACGCAAGTTAAGAGTACGTCATACAAAGGAATGAAATGTTGCAGGCCCGAACGAGATCGCGCCCTGCGTCGCCAGCAAGCGCCTCGCCCCCGGCGAGTCCTTCGACGTCAAGGAGAGTCTCTTGCCCGAAGGGGGGGTCTTCATCCGAGCCTGCCGGTATCGCTTCACGGTGGGAGGCAGTTCTTTGGGGTTTCCCGCGCCGTTTCTCGGGTTTCGTGCGCCGTTCGTCATGATTTTGTGGTTCTCGTTTCCGTCCAGTGCCCGCAAGACATGACGATGTCGTGTCCCGAGATCCGTCTCCTGGGCTCGCAAGGTTGCAGGAACGCGGACTTCGTTGTCAATGGGAACCGGTATGACTCCAGCATAATTTATTAAGAGCAACAACAAAAGCAATAAAAATAACGATAATGATATTAATTATAAGTATCCGGGACGTGACGTTCATATGTACCCAAAGTTAACGGGGAAAAGACGGACATCAATCTTCGTATTGGCTGGGTCGGGGCCCAATATGAAAAGGACAGCTGCAGTTGTGGCTTCCAGCACAGCTGTTGTTAAGTGTGCCAATGGAGCACCGGTTATGGATTGACAATCCATCTCGATTTCCTCAAATGCGGCAGAAGATGAAGATGCCAGGGCCGTCCACGATGGACATGATGCTTCTGCGCCCTGCAATGGAATGGCCAAGAAACACTCAGTTCAGGCGAATGCGGTGGACTGCAGAGGGCGTACAGAGGGTGATAAGCATTAATGTTGTCATGGAACTGTGCCCGAAAATTAAAGCTACCTGCCCCAAGTCGCCAAGGATGTAGGAAGTGATGAATAACACCCCTCTTCATCAAACCAGGTTGGCGTCAAACGAAGATCTTCAGATATGATAGCATTTACAGCCATGCTAAGACGTCAGCATTAGCTCTTCAAGTTCGTCCAAACTGACGAACGTTAAACATCACTATATAGACAGACTTCGCACTCTCTCCCAAACGAGGATGCGACCGCTGCGAAGGATTCAGCGTGGGCAAGGAAATTCCACTTTTCTGCTGAATCCCACAGCCTTCTTAAGAACGGAAAGCCACACACGCAACGACCTGCTTCCACCTGTGGCAGATGTCCAGTCCTTTTGGCGAGACTTGTACGAGAAGGTGGAACCATTTAATGCAGATGCATCAGAGATGAAAACGGTTGAAAAACTTCTGCGACTGCAAACTCAAGACACTACCGGCAGAGAAATTTCTCTTCCCCAGGGCCCGACGGCATCAATAACTTCTGGTGGAAATAGTTCCCTTCGACGTATTCCCACATCGCTTGCAATTCCCTTCAGATTCTGGAAGGGAATTGAAGGGAAGGAATCTAATTCTAGCGTGACTAGTGGGTGGTAGGATTGTTCCCATATCAAAGGGTGGAGACCCTTCCCAGCCCAAGAACTACATGACAATCAGTACTCTTGCAAGATCTTCCCAGGGATACTGAACGAAACAATCTTACAAGAAGTAGCACCTGTCTGGCATGAAGCTCCCGAAAAAAAAGAGGTTGCGAGCGCGGCCTATCAGGTTGCGAAGAAAATGCGTTGGTGGATAGAACCGTTTGTTCCGATGCTGTCCATTGGATGCGCAATTTGTTGATGGCTTGGGTGGACCATCGGAAGGGATTCCACTCCACCAACCATCAGGACCTAACAGTAGTGATGAAATTGTTGCACGTCCAATGCTTGAAATATCTTATGGGCCTATGGAGGACGCGCTTTTCCATAACATCTGGGAGAAAAATGGCCCTTATTGTCTACATCCAGTCCAGGAAGGGGAGTATACTAATGAGATAGTCCTTTATCGCAAAATCCGTGAATGCCTGGTGCCATAATTCATTAGTTTTGCTTAGGTTGGAATGGAATGACCTCCCAAGCGCCAATTATTTTAATTAGTAAAGTGCTTCATCGTGACGGCCTTCTTGATAAATATTGTCTAAATGACATATTATCTTTTTCAAAGAGATATTTTGTCTTCACATATCCAGTAATGCCCAGACAAAAGAGGCTAACGTTGCATCCATTGTTGCACATTTCTGAAGACGTCCTGACAGGCAGGACGTCGCCATTCCAATCCACATACCGGTTTTTTCAATGGAGAAGAATGCATGTAGGAATCACATGTACTGCAGCTCACGCAATGAGAAAATAATTCCTATTGAATATCGAAAGTTATGCAAGATTGCGTACGTATACCGCGGGTGCTTCTTCGGATTCTCGGATCTCCGTGGACGAAAAACTCAGAATTTCCGGATATTTTCAGCATGTGCGGGCGGGAGAGACAGATGAAGACCGCGACGAACGTGGGGAGGACCGTGGACGCCCTCCTCTACTCCATCGGGTCCTCCCTCTCGTCCCCGGGAATTCGGTGCATAATCGCTTGCGGTAAGCAAGGATTCCTCGAGCGGATGCTGTTTCCTGTTTTGTAGTGGCTCTCGACGGTGGATTATTGCATGCATTTCTTCGATCACACGGCGAATAACCAGAGCGTTGACAACTTTTTCTTTACCCTTAAAATTCTCAATATTGATATCTCTAAATTTTTTCCAGAAAACGGATCGTTCAGGGAAGGAAAAGAAATCTTAAAGAACTTCTCCCTGAAGTTATTCCCTGAACATCGAAATCATGCGTCGAAGAAATCCATCACAAATATGAACTACCATCAAAATTAGCATTTTTCTTAAAAGTAGAACCCCAAAATTACAGGATTAGCGAATTTCATTTTTCTATGTTTTTCTATGTTGAAACGAAATAAAATTATTTTGCATATCTCTTGAAAAACGTCCACTTAGGCGATAGGCCTTCATAAATATTTAATGTAACTTTAATTCCGACTACTACTTAAGTGCTGAATTAGATATATTCTATGTTTCTGTTTCCCTGATGAATAAAAAACAATTATGCTAATAATTTTCTAAATCTGTAACACTGAGAAAAACCTGTTTCGAATTTCATTGTTCCATATGTGTCGGTTTTGTTTAGCTAAATCATTTCTGTAAACTTTTGTCCTCCGAAAATGTGTCCAAGGGAAATAAGCTTTTAAAATAAAATTTCATTTTAAATCACTACAAAAATAACCATTGGAAAACTAAATGTCTGCTTCCTATTTTTGTCCCTTCGGACGAGACGAAATTGTTCAAATTGCGGTCCCGTCGAAAACTGCGCCGTGAACTCTAAGGGTTATGTTTTTCAGAGAATGAGCTTCTGTTCAGCATATATTTTATATGAATATAAACGTTTATGATGTTGCTCTGTTATACGTTGCCCCATTTCTGTCATATGATTTTTGTCCTAATTCACACCATTACTTTTCATTGCCTATTCACAGGTGAAATTGGGCGAAGAACAGGGTCTGAGACGCAAGGCCGACAATCTCTCAGGTCACCAATTCGTCAATCACGTTCTGATGTTTGCAGTACGTGCTTAATATGAAAGAGGAAACAAATTTCAAAAATTGATAATAATGTTCAGGTTGTAACGCTTGCTTATCGAGTCGTTTCCCTTGATGGGAAGAGATGGAAGGAACTGAATTGCATACTTCCCATGAAAAAGTATGTGCCTAAGGAGCCAAAAAATTACAATTGCTCAATCTAACCATATGCAGGAAAATTGAGGTATTAAAAATGTATAGATCCACAACGTTCACATGCCACAAGTGTTTCAGGCAAATTCTTTCATGTTTTCTAAACAATAATATGTTAATAGCCTCTTGTCGCTAATCAGCTTGCGGTCGCATCGGTGCGCCTCCAAGTCGAAGTTCGGGAATACCGAGGGGCCTGAGAAGGGAACGATCCAACGGGAGAATGGAAGTGGAATATCCAGGGAAATACCCCTGGATGGTGGTGCTGAGTCTGGTTCAAGATCTTCCAACCCAGTGTGTGGGGACGCTCATCACAGACCGACATGTCCTCACCTCTGCTCACTGCTTCCAATCATCCACCGAGTATGTGAACTGATCGAACGTGATAAAAACAACTAGTCGATGGCCCGTGTAAATCGAAGTAAACGAGGTGGATCGGGTGGTGAATTTCAAATTTGTTTACAGGATGAGGAATGCTGGAAAAAATATTCCACAATGGAAAATGATCACAGTTTAACGCGATGCTAACTGTCCCCAGACCCGGCTCATAACCAGTCTTCTCTGCCGCTGATCGTTTTTTCGCAATCGGTCTCACTTGCTCAGCGTAGGCGGGAACATTTTGCCTCGATACTCGGCAGTTATGAGGGATCGACTTCACTATGTCACGCGCAATTCACTTTCTCCGATCATCATCACCTTGAGGGCATTATCCAACTGTTTCTCTGTCGATAATTTTGTAGCATGATAAAGGAAATAATTTTCTCCGAAAAAATATATTAAAAATTTAGATGAAGAAAAAATAGTTATGTACCCATAAGGGCCCAGAGGGACAGAACTAAACCGCAATCAGACAGACAAGAACATGCACGCAATTTCAGTTGCAACGATATCCTGTGCAGCAATATTCTATTTTTGGAAAGCTAACCCATTCGGTCAACAACGTCTGGTCAAGACTGAGAGAGGGTTCACTTTTCAACGTAGCTATGTTGCCACAAAGGTGGGTGAAAGGGGGATTCAATGTTGCCGCAATGTTGAAATAAAGCGCAGTTCAACGTTGATACGATCATGTGTCTCGTTCTGCCAGGGTTGAATCGTCAAAATGTAGGCATTACCTCCCCTTTTTTTAAGCCTTTACCACACGCTAATATTGATTAGAGCTTTAAAATACTCTATTGAGTGTTATTATTCTATAGAAGAATCCTACTGAAGTTATATCTTCCTTAACTGGATCAGGTGGCGAAACGCTGTTACCAATGAGGGGCTTTGAGAAATCGAATAATAGGAAGCTCGATTGATAGAAAACACGATCTAACACATTATCCCATTCCTTCCTACATTCCAGCAAACTATCATACTTTAGTTTGCGAAAGCATCGATGAGTAGTGAAGAAAGGGATTCGTTTCCATTAAATTCCAGATCTCTTGTGGTGGTGACGTTGGGCGAACACGACATGAAGACGACCTCGGAGGCGACGACCACGACGCAGACGGTCCCCTGGGAGAACGTCATCCGCCATCCCCATTTCGACGCGTCGACGCCGGAGAACGACATCGCCCTGGTGAGACTGGACACCCCGGTGAACTGGGAGGAATTCCCAAACGTCCGCCCCGTGTGCCTGGCGAACACCTCCCCGGATCCTTCGGCTAAGGCGGTGGTTGCATGGTGGGAATGGCGCGGTAAGTGGGCACGACCTTTTCTTAATAATCCCTTGAAGAACTTCTCGCTGATGTTATCCTCGCAAAACTCTGTAAGAGGATTTTCTCTATAACAAAAAATCTTAATTGATTCGCTCTCGTGCATTCGGTGAGTCAAAGACTCTCATGTTACAATTGGCTTGCACCATCTTGTAGACATACCCAAGTAACATGATGTCAATGGTAACAGGATCCTCAGAAAGGAGAAGAAAAGCTATTTATTGACGCGTTCACGTAAAGCCATTCGATTCTAGATACGTATATTTATGCCAGATAGGATTTGAAAAGCTCTTGAATGAGGCTGAAATCTAGGTCCACTCCATAGCAGAGTGCCCCAAGTATAGAATGTTTTTATTGGGCCTCCTTTCCTGAAAGGAAAGGGACCACTCATACTCTAGTCCTGTCCGTCTGTGTGTCACACTTTGGTTGTCCGACGATGACTAAAAAAATAATGGTCCGATTAATGCGAAAATTAGCAAGCGGGTAGATATGAACAGAATGGACGGCACATTGAGCACCTTCTCAGGTGAAATGAACCCACCTGAACCAAATTGTGTGCTTTGGTTTTTGGTATTTGTGCATTTTGTTTTTGTTTGTTTCTTTCTTTTGTCAGTTGTGAGAAATTGCATGTTGGAGGAACATATGAACACTTACTTTTTTGGTTATGAAAAGAAAATTAAATGCCAATCTCGCAGTCTTTGTAATTTTTCTTCGAAACTCCGGCCACAAATCCTAGTTGAGTCATCTTATGTCCGTACCAAACTTCATAAGAATCGGCTGCCTACAATCACATTAGCAACTCACCAAAAATGATAGCTTTTTTTGTCCCACACTGTAGTTACCAATCTTTGTTTATCACATTTGCCGGAATGGCTACATTACATTATTCGATTCAATCTGGAGACTTGTTTGCTTGTGAGTTAGATTCACGACATGCATCTGTTTTATTTTCCACTTTCCACGACTTAATACACATGCTTCTCCATTCTGAAGAGTCTTCAGGATGCTGCGAGCGCTTCAATACCACAGGAATTACCATCATTGTTATTCGAGCGCTTTTGAAACGGCGAACTCGGTAACTTGTTCTCATGTGACATCATAAGGACAAGTAAAAGCCTGTCACGCTGTTCCCGCTTGCGAGCGCTTCAATACCACAGGAATTACCATCATTGTTATTCGAGCGCTTTTGAAACGGCGAACTCGGTAACTTGTTCTCATGTGACATCATAAGGACAAGTAAAATCCCGTCACGCTGTTCCCGCAGACGTGCTGTTGGAAGCGGAATTGGAAGTACTACCGGACTCAACGTGCAGCAAGAAATGGCCAGATCCCTTCATCGCCACCACATTCTGCGCCCTCGGAATCGATCGCACCTGTCACGTAAGTTAATTCCATCAAGATGTCGTAATCCCGTCATCTTTATGAGAATCTTTGCAGCCATCTCAGAAAAATGATTTTTTTTCCTTACCAGGAAATTTTCTAATTTTCTTGTCTATCCCATGTTTCTCATTGCTCACTAGCATACCATTATAAGAGATACGTCACAATAATTTTTTTTCCATTCATAATCCATAAAATGGCCTTCTTTGAATTAAGAATATAGAAGCGAAGGTAACTGACATCATGTGGGAAGTTGCAGTCGTATTCGTTCACGAGGTGAAAACCATGTTCATGGTTGTTTTACTTTTCCTTCACTCATACCTGCGGCGAAATACAAAGAGATGCAGTCTTGGAGAAAAGACGCTGAGTAAAACATGAAATATTTCTAGGCTGGAAGGTATTCATTGAAGAACTCATGGTTACTTGTCTCATGGAGATTTGTGTCGTACATTCAATAACAATTTACATGAATGAAGCGGTGAACATCGTTCCAGGGTGTTTTCGAGGAACCGGTGATGATCCAAAACGAAGCGGGGATCTTCGAGCAGTTTGGAATCCCAATGAAACGCACGTGTCGCGAACACGAGCCCGGGTTTTACATCAAAGTAGCCGGTGAGTTCAAAAGAAACAAAAACTTAATGAATCGAGCTGACTCTGTCTGAGATGCACGAGCCTCCCTTTCGCCAGGTTTCCTCCGTGACTTCATCCAGCCGAACACGCAGGATGCAATCTGGTGTCCTCCCGAGTAGAACACTGGCGATGACGATCGAACGAGGATCAACGATTGATAGGATTTCGTACCGGGAGATTGCCTGATTCTCTTACTGTTCACTTTTTGGCTCGTCAACCGAAGAAAAATGTGTCGGGCTCTTCTTTGAAAAAGTTAATCGATGAGTCGATTTTTTTTTAATTGAGTGCAAGATTTAATTCCTATGTGGTAATGTAATGTTACATTCCTTTAAAGTCCAGCTTTAATTCAAATAACCCCATATGAAGTGATTCATAATTTAGAAGGGACTAAGCTTTTCAGATTGGGAAAGGTCCCAAACTCAAGGAAAGCAGAAATAGAACTGGAGTTAAATATGTCCAAGTTTATGTTTGACAGGCTTACCTGCAAGCTTCACTTCCGTGGCGTGACAGACGAGGGAAAATCAAAATACTCGGAATAAACAATTTTTTTGAAGGAATACCTGTTGTGCCTAAGCAACATTGTGAGCTACAGCAATGATATCCTTCAGAGTAGCCTCGTTAGGCAGTCACACACTTCCTTTAGCATCAATTCAGTTGCGTGAAGCAAAGTTGCAGGGTTTTTTATGCAGTAGCGCTCGCTTCGCGAACGCTGTCGTGACTTCTTCCACCTCATGATAGCCATCTCTGGCACAGCAAGAGCAAGACGTCGCGAGGAGCCGGATCCCACGAGCACTTATCGTGGGAAGGAAATGGACCTTGTGCATAGGGAGGTAGGTCGCCACGATGACGAACGGGTGGCTGGGGCTTTATCGTGCTGAAGCAGTCACTCTCTGAATCTCCAGTTTCGTGGTCGTTTCTGACGAATGTCGACGCGCAGATTTTGAAGTACCTTTCAACAGAATACACAATTATGAACGAAGTATGACGCTTACGTTGACGCATCACCATTCCCTGACAATTCCTTCCTTCAAATGAACGAATTCCAGACTGTGAAGGTAAAACCGCATGCAAATTTGCTGCCTCCTGTACATCAATGCAATGTCAGAAGTTTGCAGAGCAACTACCCTCATTAATATATACCATATATTTCTGAATCACCCGTCAAACTATCTCATGCTTGGCATGAGAAAGTTTCAAAACTCAGATCCTTTACCCGTCCCCAAGAGTACATACTGAATTCCCAGGCCGCACAATTTCAAATTCCCACAGTATAGATACAACGGAAAGGCAGCGTCGAAGTTATTGAGCAAACAACGAAAGTGGGATGTAACCAATTTCGTCATTGAAAACGGGTCATCGTCTCCAAAAGTTAATTGAATACAATCCGGAATGCTGTCAGGGATTTTATTATTCCAATGTGTGTCTTCCATGATTGAGAGAAATTTACCAAAGGGTCCCATGAAAATGTTTAGTTGCATGCGAGATGAAATGAATAGGGTAAAGCAAGTGGGCGGTAAGTTACACTATCACTTCTTAACCTCCTATCGGATTGTTTTGGAAGGAATGAATCTAATACCATGAGTGAGAAGCATACAACCTAACGAAGAAAACATTGAAATATGGGTGGAGGGCGGGTGTAATCTAATTCTAAACCGGTTTTGGACAAGATACACCGCCGACGAGGAAGGATTTGCACCATGAATCCGGGGTGGTGGAGCACGTGGCCCAGTGCTCTTTCGTCCCATCCGTGAAGCCCTTCTCGCAGCGGAAGAGCACCTTCGCCCCCATCGGAGCTGGGTATCCTCCATTCCATCCGACATATGTGAGATTCGCATTCTCCATCATCGGGTGCTCCGTCAAGCAGAAATCTGTGCATTCCGTGTATAACCACATACTTTGCTTAGAGGACAGAACATGCAAATCATCGAAGTGCCTGAAGTCTCAAGTTCTTCAACAGTTCCAACAAAACAGAACCGGAAATTTTATAGGACAGTTTAACATGTAGGAATAAAGATATTTGAAAACAGGATTTGCATTTCCAGTCATTGATGACGAATAGAAAAAGAATACGAATAACTGAATTATGCAAGAGGAAATGATAGAATAGATGTCATATAACACAGGCATTTGCTTCGATCCGTGACCATATGGCGCGAAAAAGACGCAGACTATGGATTGGAGCACGTAAGATCTATTGCACGTAGAAAAGATCAAGTTTGAGCTCGTGTAGCTCTTGTCGGCGAAAATGATGACCACGGCCGGATCAATGGACCCAATATCCAAACGATTCGAGTCCCTTCAAACTTACGTTTGGGGATTTCATTTATCAACTACGATGAGAGGTGCAAAAGACAGGGCAGAAATGTTGCTACCCGGACAACCCGGGAAGATACTACTGGACGTTTAGCCCCATGGATTCCGAAGCGTCACCCCGACATACCCATCCTTATTGAATACTATATGCGATAGATGATTCGAGAAATTTATGCGCATTGTTGGCTGAGTCCACTCTGCCGGAAAGGACGGGGGACAGGTGTATTGCGTCCGGGTGGGAAGGGCAAAATGCTAAGGACAGACTCCGGTGAGGCAGCCCAACCCGTCCACCATGTCAGACAGCTTTCTTAAGGTGAAAACATACGTGCAGAATAACCGTCGCATTGCTGTGGTGAATGCATTCCAGATAGAGGTTGGCATCGTAGAATATTAGAGAGCAACAGATTCATCATCGCTCTTGTTACTCTCGTGCTTCTCGTGCAGTTGCGCCATTGCGACTGCATCAAGTTTAGAATGTAAATGGGTTTGACCTCATTTGACCCCGAACAGGAGACAGGAAACATCATACACAGTCTAGATGGGCCGCATGTGCCCCTATCTGAACTGTCCTACCCTCCCTCAGCTCATAGATGCCTCTAAAGCTCTTCCTACATATATCCACTCATTCACGGTCAATGTGATTCCGTTGGGGAGGGGGTGGGGGGCGTGTGCATCATAGCAGGAAGACCTGAAAATCGCTTTGAAAAGGGTGGACTAGTTCGTCGCCATCCTACTCAAGAAACGGGTTACCGAGTGTGCATTATTCAATAAAAACCGCATGCTCTTTAGCCAAAATACCATACACACAATTCGAGATGTACTCGAGATGTACAACTCAAGCCATTCGCAGTTGAGCTCCACCACGGCTGAAAAACTAATTTATCGGCACCATAACTCAAGGGATGCCGACTCTCGAGAATGAAGCGAGCCTGAGTTAGTTAGAAGATGACAGTTATGACCGGCTTCATGTCCGGAAGGCATATGAAACAAAACGACATGTGCATATGTGAACAAAACGAAAATGCGAGCAGATTCAAGGACTGACTCTGGACGTAAGCTTGATATCCTTCGGACGGGATGAGCGAACTCTTCCCGTTCACTATCAGCTCACAAGTTGCATCGGAACTTCTGTAGTTGTAGGCCTTGCATGGTCTCGGTCGCTGGCTCGAACATAAGATGTTGCAGCCCCCCATACTTCGGATTTGGACCTTCCGAGACACGTTTCCATACCTCTGGCCTGGGTGGGCGGCGTAGAAGCTGAGGAAGTCGCACTCTGTCCCCAGAGAAAGAAGAGAGAAGAGGAGTAGGCGAATCCTGCCGAGACGTTTCATCTTGGCCGACAGGGGGATTTATCGCACTTCCACATCTTGATGTTATTCCGTTTCTCAAGACTGGCGCGAGAGATCGCGTGACCGATTGCAACCAATCCGGACGAGGTTGCGTAGAAAAGAATGACTTTTTGCGCTTTAGCTTCCATAGCAGGAGGGCATGGGGTGACTTGGCTCCTCTGAAGTTGAACCAACCCCCCCCCCCCCTCCAATGATTCATTCGTGATGGTCTTTCCTTTCCCTCCACAAAGAGAACTCCTTTCGTCAGGATACTCCTGTCGATAAACTGTAATTGATTGATGCCTGGGAAGAAAGTTCCTTCCTACCCCCCTCCCTTGCCTCCGCCAGCACCCATCGCTTTCGTGGAAGGACGAGGAAAAATCAAGAGGAACTTCATCGTATCCCCGAATGATGCCAGGTTTTTATGGGTAGTTATAGATCCTTATTAGTAAGGATGAAAGGTTCAAACATTTTTCATGAAAATCTATCCGGATCTGATTCGGGTGAAGGTTAGTTATCATCAGTAGCGTTGACGACGAAGGCAGCCATTAGAGATTTAAATGCAGGTTGACATAACGGGTTTGCGGCATTAAGTTGAGCAAGTACAAATGAATAGTTAGGAATAAATTCTGACTCTTCTCTCTACTTAAATGTTTCCATGAGTGAATTTCAATCTACTACGAGGGAAAGTTTATTAGCTAGACAAATGTTTAGTCAATATTCTGCTCATTTTCTTCCTAAGCATTCTGAAGCCGCTTCGTGCCTCCACGAGCTAAAGCATCTTCGATTCACTGGCTTATGAAGCCCAATTATGAAGCAGGGAAGCACCAAAAGGTAGAAGCGTTGTCACGAAGAAAGGAAGGTAGGTTTGATAGCATGAAGCAAGTTTTAAAAGAAAGTGCATGGTAGGTTGCATTCCATCATGACTTCGTGATTTTAACGAGCTCAAGCCGCGGAGTTTCTTTCGGAGTTTTCCAGACATATCGACCAATGCCGAGTTTCCGCGACATATGGTCTTAGATCGAAGAAATTGCCAGCGAGGAATCTTTTTTCTGCTTCGATTTTCTCATAATAAGCTGTTTCATGGGTTTAGAGGCATGCTCTACTCAGCATCCACTACAAGAAATGGAAAAATAATTTTTAGAATTCGTTCATCATTTCATGCAAATGTCAATAACTCCTGATGCTAAGTAACGAGAAAGATTGTCTTCAATAAAAAAAAGTAAATCCTCAGTGATAGATTCCAAAAACTTGGAATCGGTGAGAATTCCCCTCATTGCAGCTACATGGATCCGAATCCTCAGGGGACTCCCAATTGATTACAAACGTGGCCTTTAAAAAAAGACCTGAAGGAAAGTGAATACTTCCGATATAGGAGAACTTCAATTGCATTTTTGCAACGATTTATGAGCGACTGCAGGGGGAAAATCCAATAAGAATTATGGGTGATATAGTGAAACTTGAGCTACAAAAACGATTACCAGGATGCATTAACGCATGGGTGAAAATAATGGAAAGTTCGAGCTGTACAGAATAGCTGAATGGAAGTAGAATGAATCGATTAATGAAATATTTGAAGAAAACTCTGTACGGAACA